CTGAATTAAGTGTCTGCCCCCTGGGAGTCAGTGTGCATCATAGCAACCGGTTGTTCCACCACTTGGTAGATTTGCATATTAACCTTTTATTATATAGGATAATGAACTCACAGAAAGAGAAACTAAAAATAGAAAAGTAACATTTACCATTGCAATAACAAAATTAAGATACTTATAAATAAACTTAACTAAGGAGACAAAAGACCTGTGCTCTGAAAACTATAGGATGTTGAAAAAAGAGATAGAAGAAGATATAAACAAGTGGGAGAATATACTACATTCATGAATTGGTAGAATCAGCATCATTAAAATGTCCATACTATCAAAAGCAATCTATAGATTCAATGCAATTCCCACTAAAATACAAATGGCATATTTCATAAACCTGAAACAAACTCTCCAAAAACGAATATGGAATAAAATAAAATAAAAAAGACCCTAAATCCTAACCAACTTGGCTCAGTAGATAGAGCATCAGCCTGTGGACTGCAGGATCCTGGGTTGGATTCCAGTCAAGGGCACAGGCTGGGTTGTGGGCTTGATCCCCAGTAGGGGGTGTGCAGAAAGCAGCTGATCAATGATTCTCTCTGATCATTAATATTTCTATCTCCCTCTCCCTTCCTCTCTAAAATAATAAAAATATACATTTTTTAAAGTCCCAAAATAGTTGCAGCAATCCTGAGAAAAAAGAACAACATAAAGAGATCATAATACCAGACATAAAATTATATTACAATGCCACTCTTCTCAAAACAACATGGTACTGGCACAAGAACCAACACATAGACCAATGGAACAGAACCAAGAACCCAGAAATTGACCCAAACCATTATGCTCAATTAATACTTGACAAAGGAGGCAAAAGTACACAATGAAATCAAGACAGTCTCTTCAATAAATGGTGTTGGGAAAATTGGACAGATACAAGCCAAAAAAAAAAAAAAAGAAAAGAAAACGTTGGTAGGAACTTGACTATCAACTCACTTCATTCACAAACATCAACTCAAAATGGATAAAAGACTTAATCATAAGACAGGAAACCATAAAAATCTTAGGAGATTACATAGGCAGAAAAATATCAGATACTAGAAGCCCAGTACACAAATTCGAGCATGGGCAGGGTCTGGCTGGCCCAGCCCCAATCAGGGCAGATTGGAGCTGGGTCTGTAAGGAGGAGGAGTTGGCAGGAGGTTGGCTGGCTGGCCCGCCCCCTTTGGGGCCCAATCAGGGCTGGGCTGGCTGGGGTGATGGGCCCCAGGCGATTGGCCAACAGGCCCCATCCCTGATTGGGGTGAGAGGGCTGATTTGGGGTCAGTGGCCAGGGGATGGGCTGTGGGAGGTTGGCCAGCCAGCTCCACCCATGATTGGTGTGTATAGGGGCAATCAGGGTCAGAGCTGGCTGGGGAGAGAAGTGGCAGGCTTATCAGGGGGGTGGGGGCTGATCGGGGTGTGGCCAGCCAGGAGGAGGGGGTGTAGGAAGTTGGCCAGCCAGCCCCACCCCCTGATAGGTCTAGTTCGTTGGCCTCAGTGGGCAACTGGTCATTACGGTCTCTGGGTTTTTATATATATAGATAGCTCGTAGCAATATGGTTAGTAACACATCTCCTAGGACAATGGAAACAAAGGAGAAAATAAACAAATAGGATTACATCAAAATAAAAAAACTTCTGCACAGCAAAAGAAATCATCAACAAAACAATAAGAAAGCCCACTGTTTGGGAGAACATATTTGATAATGTGACATCTGATAAGGGTTTAATCTCCAAAATTTATAGGGAAAAAGGATATAGAAGGACAAAGGACAAATGGAAAAAAAAATGCTCAAACACTAATCATCCCAGAGATGCAAATCAAAACAGCAATAAGGTATCATCTCTCATCTGTCAGAATGGCTATTATCAACAAATCAACAAACTACAAGTGCTGATGAGGATGTGGAGAAAACAACACACTGTTGTCTGTCGTACACTGCTTGCAGGAATACAGACTGTTGTAGCCACTGTGGAAAACAACATGGAGCTTCCTCAAAAAATTAAAAATGGAATTCCTATTTGACCAAGTAATCCCAATTATACGGATATATCCCAAAGAATCAGAAACACCAATCAAAAAGAACATATGCATCCAAATGTTCACAGTAGCACAATTTACAATAGTGAAGATTTGGAAACAGCCTAAGTGCCCATCAGCAGATGAGTGGATTAGAAAACTGTGGTATATCTACACAATGGAATACTATGCTTCTGTAAAAAAAGAAAGAACTCTTACCATTCACAACAGCATGGATGGACATGGAGGGCATTATGCTAAGCAAAATCAGCCAGTCAGAAAAAGACAAGTATCACATGATCTCACTCATTTGTGGAATATAATCAACAACATAAACTGATATAACAAAAATAAATCCAGAGACAGAGAAGCATTATAAAGACCGTCAAACCTCAGAGGGAAGGCAGGGGTGGTGGGCTGTAAGAGAGCAACCAAAGAACTTGTATGCATGTATATTAGCATAACCAATGGACACAGATACTAGGTGGGTAATGGCATGTGCTGGAGGGTGGGAGGGGTCAGGAAGAGGTCAATCGGGGGAAAAGGAGACATAAGGTAATACTTTAAATAATAATGCATTTTTTAAAGCACATATATATTTAAGGTTGACATTGCTGAAGAAGATCATGCACAATTTTTAATGTTACTAGACAATGCAAAATTATTTTCTAAAAGAGAATAAAATTGTCTGCAATGTGAGTAGAATATAAGAAATCCTATCAATCCTATCTTTTCTAAGTACTTGATTTTGTTGGAATTTTATATAGTTGACAAATTGGCCCATGAAAATTGTACCTTGTAAATTGTAGTTTGCTTTTCTGACAAATTTATTAGGTTGAGAAGATTTTTGTTTATTGATATTTTACTTTGAGAATGCTAAAAGGGGCTAATTCCAATGTAACCATGATATTTAGGGGATAGTGATCTGAATCCATGTCAGCAAGCTCAGTGTACGTTCTTGATAACCTATAATTAAGTCACTACCTCCTTCCCAAATACCGGTCTTGTAGAACCTGTTACTACGAACAGTGCACTGCCCTTGAGGGAGGGTTATTAATGCTGGTGCCAGGCAAGACCATTAGATATGGCCTGGAGACTTCCAACACCTGGGGGCCTTCTTGGAAGGCCTGTGAAAAGGACCGGAAGCATAATCTATATTTGTAGAACAAAGACCACAGTGACATATAAAGGAAAGCCCCATGCATGTTTCTTCACTCAGATTTGGAACGTTGTTCCTTGAGTCTATCAGTATATTAAACAGTATCTCTCCTCTTCTTTAAGGCTGCACTTGTTTTGTCTTTGGTCTTCTGCAACAATTTCAATTTTGTTAGTATCTATTCATGTCTTTGCCCATTTTGCTTTTGGGTTGTTTTTCTCTTCAAAGTTGATTTGCAGTTCTTATATATTCTGCTTTCTAATCCAGTATCAGTTATTTGTGTTGTAATATTTTCTCCCAATTTGCAATTTATATTTTTACTTTAAAAAATAATGCCTTTTAATTAATTTTATTTTTTTTAAAGAAAGAAACTTTTAATTTTCATTTTTGCCTAGGAGATTCATACTATGGAAAGTTATCTTAATCCCTAGATGCTATAAGATAAATAAGAACTCTCTCTCTGTACATTTCTCCCAACCAAACACAAAGAGGGTGAAATTTGGACAGTCATATTCCTACCAATGAGCAATTGTATACTCATATTTGAACCACAGCAGTGAAAGGGACAGCTGGGAAAGGAATTGAATTTTCACACCATATTCAACAAAAATAAATTGCTCTGAGCTCTACAAGATAAATCTTCTTTATTCTAATTTATAATCACTCACAGAACTTGTTACAAACCTTTAGCTTTCATCCTCCTGTGTAGAATGATGGGCTTTGGAACAAGTGGTCAAGAGATCTGATCCTCTCCTTCCCGCTGTCACTAGCTTAATATGTAATTTGGGAGCTTTGAGTCTTCATCTGTAAGAACAAGTTAAGGGCTATTGAACATCTATCTATCTATATAAAAGCCCAAGTAACCGTTATGACCAGTCAACTAATCGACCAGTCGACAGGTTGCTATGACACTCACTGACCACCAGGGGACAGATGCTCAACACTGGAGCTGTCCCCTGGTGGTCAGTGCCCTTCCATAGCCAACCTCCCATGGCCAGCCAACCCCCTTGGTCCCTCCCCCTGGCCAGCAGGCCCCAATGGCCCTGATCAGCCCCTATAGCAGGCCAAGTGGAGGGACCCCACCCATGCATGAATTCGTACACTGGGTCTCTAGTATTAAATAAGAGAAATAAGGTAACATATACAAAAGCTCTGTGCTAATCCTATATAATAAAAGGCTAATATGTAAATAGACGAAACAGTGGAACAATCGAACAACCAGTCGCTATGACATGCACTGACCATCAGGGGGCACGTTCAGAACATGGTAGGTATTGGCTGGGGCTGTATGGTGAAGCAGGGCACCGGTTGCTGTCATCAGGGCAAGACTTTGGTGGTTACTGAAAATTCTTTGCTAATCTGTACCTTCTTACTTTGTAAAAGAAATGTATAATTGTAATAAAAAATGTAAAGAAAGAAGTCTCCGTTTCCTTACCTTTAATAGGAACAATAATGGTAAGAACAGTTCCTGATGCAGTGCTTAATAACTGATAGCTATTGATATAAATGTAAACTCTGCGGGGACGGGGGAACGTTCGGATTTTAAACACCTTTTTGTCTCCCATATATCCTAAAATTTGCCCCCAGCCTGCTGCATATTTGATATTTGCGATCAGAAGAATCCGCTAATCCACGCGCCGCTGCACGCACCACCGGGCTCCCTGGGGCGGGAACCAACCCAGCCCAGAACCCAAAGCTCGACCGCTGAGGCGTCGGACCTCCTTCGCGGTAGGACGCGGACCGGAAGTGGCGAAGGCGGGGTCTGTGCTGAGGGGAAGGTGGCGGCCCAGCGAAGATGCTGCTGGACCTGTCCGAGGAGCACAAGGAGCACCTGGCTTTTCTGCCGCGAGTGAACAGCTCGGGTCCGGGCGCGGCGGCGGGGGATGGCGCTGGGTGGTCCGGGAGGGAAGCCGCGGGAGGGCCCGCTGCTCACGGCCTCCTGGCTTTCGTTGCAGTGGTCGCCGAGTTTGGGCGGATTGCGGTGGAGTTCCTGAGGCGAGGCGCGAACCCCAAGATCTACGAGGGCGCCGCCAGTAAGAGGAAAGGGGCGCGGCCCTGCATGCTGTGCTAGCCATTGTCTGTAGCCCTGAGAAAGGGGTCATTGCGACTCCGAGGGTCTAGGGCCCTGTGGTAGAGTGAAACCGAGAGGGCCTTTCAGTCCGGGCGCAGGTCCTGCCGGCTTCCTAAGAAGCTGTGACGTATTTAGAGCTTCTATTAGTCGGCTTCCTCGAGTGTACAATAGACATACTACCGACTGCGAGACATATTATAAAGCTTACGCTCTCCGAAGTGTGTGGACTAGCCCGATGAGCCGTATCACAAATGTTTGGTTGTTATTACTTGTTCACACATCTTCTTTTAGTGAAGCATTGTTTTTTCCCGCTGCACGAGGGGCGGGTTCTCAGATTAAGTTGGTCCCTTTGCGTTCCCTGTTCCCCTTGCAGGCCTGAGCGGGGGTCTGCATTGGTGGGGAAGGTTACAGCTCGCACTACTGAAGGCATTGGGCTGGGAGTGGAAGTGGTGTGCAGGCTATTACCAACTCATTATTTTTATTTTATTTATTTTTTATTTATTTTTTATTTTTTAAAATAAATCTTTATTGTTCATATTATTACAAATGTTCCTCTTCCCCCCGCACCCCATTGCTCTCCTCCTCCAGGTTCCCACCCCACCCTCTGCCCTTTTCCCACCCCTCATTGTCCTCATCCATAGATGCACAGTTTATGTTCAGTCCAACTCATTATTTTTAATTGCAGTATTTGAAAAAAAAAAAAAAAAAGGAATAATGGACAATATTTAGTTCACTCAGAATAGTTCTGATCTTCTTTCTGTTATCCAGATAAAGCTGAAGCAACAATTTGTTCATTTGAATAAAAGGATAAAAACCACACAATTTATTTGCTCATTTTTCCGTTTTTCTCAGGAAAACTCAATGTGAGTAGTGACACTGTCCAGCATGGTGTGGAAGGATTAATATACCTGCTCACTGAAAGCTCAAAGCTCATGGTAAGGGCTTCTATGGACTGTCTTGCATTTCCCAAACTTTAAGGTCATGCATATTCTATTGATACATTATAGTGCTGGCAAGTACCTGCTTATTTCAGTAATGTTATTCATGGCTTATTTTTTATTTGATGAAGCCAGGCCTAAACAATGTGACTAACAGTCTGCTGTCATGAATACCTCCACCTATAACAATAAAAGTATAATATGCTAATTAAACTAGACATTCCAGGCGAAGCCAGGGCTGAAAGGGAAGTCCGAGTCCCAGGTGCTTGCCTGCTGCCAGAGGGAAGCTGGCAACCAGGGAAAGGAAGACCTACTCTTGCATGAATTTCATGCATCGGGCCTCTAGTGTTAGTATAAATTAGAATTGCCATTAATTCTGCATGTTACTTAAGAGAAGGGAGAATATGATTTACTTTTTTGCATATTAGCAGCTTCTGGCATGATGAAGAACAGGAGAGAAAACTGGGCATTTTAATAATTCTGTATACTTTCATAAAGTACTTTTATGTCTCAGAAACTCAGATTTTAAAATAGTGACAAAGGTTGCCTTTAACTAAGGAGTGTTGTTTCTTTTTCAGACAGAATTTGGGAATTTACTAAAAGAATTTGGGGATTTCATATTCTTTTGTTTATATCAACTGTTTTAGCATTTTCTAAACAAAGATCAATTTTGATGTTCTATTAAATTCAATCACTTTAGATTTCTGAACTGGATTTCCAAGACTCTGTTTTTGTTTTGGGATTCTCAGAAGAATTGAACAAATTGTTGCTTCAGCTTTATCTGGATAACAGAAAGGAGATCAGAACTATTCTGAGTGAACTGGCACCAGACCTCCCCAGTTACCACAGCCTTGAATGGCGACTAGATGTACAGGTATGGCTTATTATTATTAATCTGAATTAGATACAAGATTAATTTTAGGTTTATGTCTTTAGGCCTTGCCTTTACCACCTTAACCAAACTCTGGTTTGAAACTTGAGAGGTTTTGTTTGTTTGTCTTTTAGGTAACATTTTCTAAAATATATCTTTATTATTGAAAATATTACAGGTGTACTCTTGTTCCCCCCCCACCCCCTATTGACTCTCTCCCCCAGTCCCAACCCCCTCCCCAGGATTTATATGCATATACGTATTCATAACCCATGGACACAGACAATTGTTTGGTGAAGGCCTGAAACTTTAGTTTTTTAATGTTCATTTTTCAGGCCATTTCACAAATAGTTCATTTTCTTATATTTTTAATGTGTCAAATCAGTTTAATTGCAAAGTTTGTAAGAAATGGGTTATTTTGGAAAATGAGATGATTATGCAGATTTTCTTTAGTGATGCTTAGATTTTTTAAAACTTTTTTGTTTAAATAAATACACATATAGAAAAGTGCACAGGTCAGTGAATGTACAGTTCAGTGAGTTATCTTATGGTGAAAACATCCATGAAACTAACACTTACCCATAACCAGCATCCCAGAAGTGCCTTCCTCACCTCCTGCTAACTGCTTCCCCTTTTCTCTTTTCCTGATTTCTAGTATATAGATTACTTTTGCTGCTCTTTAACTTTTTATATATGGAATGACTCAGCAGTGTTCTTTTGTGTCTGGCTCTGGCTTTTGTACATATTATATTTGTGAGATTCAGTTGTTTTTAAAGCCATATAGATAACCAAAAGGGAGTTTTCAGACTATTGCTTATAACCCTTAAGCAGTGACAGATTAAGACAATGTTTGTTGGTTGTCATCCATTTGCTTTGCTAAATGCTTTGGTAAACAAAAGTGTAAGATGCTTTCTCAGCTGGAAAAGATATTGTCATTTAGGAATATTAGATGTTCTTAAAAAAACTAATAATTAAAGATAGTTATTGAAATATTAGAGGCCCAGTGCTCAGATTCATACACCATTGGAGTCCCTCAGCCTGGCCTGCGAGGATTGGGCCAAAACTAGCTCTCCAACATCACCCAAGGGGTCTTAAATTGCTAGGGACCTCACTGGGCACGATCGGGACTGGAGAGGGGCTGTGAGAGGGCTCCAGGGTGTGTCCAGCCAGTCTTGCCCAGTCCCTATTGGGGTGATTGGGGCAGGCCAGCCAGGGAGAGACCAGGGGAGGGCTCCAGGGCATGTCCGGCTCGTCTCTTCCAGTCCCCATTGGCCAGACCCCAGCAGCAAGCTAACAAACCTCTGGTGGTCAGTGCACATCATAGTGACTGGTCAAACAGGAGGGGCTCGTATTAGGCTTTTATTATATAGTACTATGGGCTCAGTGCACGAATTCGTGCACCTTAAAAGGAACTATGGGCCACAAGGCTGTGGTGGGCTTAGGAGCGGGTCTTGGCCCATCCTCCACACCCCAGCCTGGCCCCTCCCATCATAGCCCCCAGTCTCCTGTCTGATGGCAGCCTCATTCCCACCACCACCACTCATACCTGCTGACAGCACGGGATGATTGAGGCCAGCACCAGCAGTTGGTGTGAGTGGCGGCTGCTGCTCCAATCGCCCCTCAGGAGCAGGGGGAGGTGGAGAAACCCTCAGGGGTGATCAGGGCCGGCAGCAGGCACTGGTAGCAGGTGCAAGTACCCGGCAGACCTCAGCATGTGGGACCAAAGAATTTTCAGTAACCACCAGAGGCTTGCCCCAATGACAGTGACCAGTGCCCCACCTTGGTCTGATGCCCCCACTCACCTGCTCTGCCATCCCACCACAGCTGATGCCCGCCATGTTCCATGCTCTGCCTCTTGCTGCCAACACCCGCATTCATCTGTATGCATCCCCTGGTGGTCTGCGCACATTATAGTGACCGGTTGTTCGGTTGTCCGCCATTCGGTCTATTTGCATATTAGGGTTTCATATATATAGATAGGTGGTTTTGGAGGAGGGAAAAGAATAGAATTGTGTAAATCAAGATACACTTGAGTATTTCTAAAAAAAAGCTATAGTTCAGGTACTTCTTAAAATATACAGGAATGATCCAGAAAAGTTTCAACAAAAGGGGGTGAAATCTCAGAAGGATAAATGAATAGAAAAAAAAACAGGATAAATATTCTTGACAGAGAAAACAGTGTAAGCTGTAAAGGCCCACATGCATATGGGAATGAGCATGTTGAATATGTCACCGGTCGTCAACCTTTCAGACCTCGGTGGACCACCTGTTTGTGACTGTTGGAATATGTGGTTTTTAGCACTCTAGCCTAGCCAAACTGAATTGCATATTGGAATGACCTGGAAGCTTTAAAAAATTCTGTGCTCCATTCCACACTCCACTCCCTTAGAGATTCTGACTTATTGTTCAGGGATTTGGCCAGGGCATCCGTATTTTTTTTTTTTTTTTAATATCTTTATTGACTTTAGAGAGAGATGAAGGGAAAGGGAAAGAAAGAGAAAGAAACATCAACATGAGAGAGAAATGTCAATTGGTTGCTCCTGCACACACTCTGACTAAGGACGTAACCTGAAACCATGGGGAATCAGAATCAAACTGGTGACCTTTCAGTACATGGGATGATACTTAACCAACTGAACCATACCGGCCAGGATTTAGGATTTTTTTAAAAAGCTCTCCATTTAGGCAGGTAATTCTAATATGCAAAAAAGTTTGTAAACCACTGTTATAGTAGATTCATACTGACTTGAATAGGTGGTTCAAATAGATTATAGAAATTCTGCTAGAGGAGTTTAGCAATTATAATTTAGTTTGATGAACACTTGAATAGATATTAACACAGGATATGGCATAAACCAGATTATAGAGTCCATGAGGGCAGATACTGTGTCTTGTTAACAACTGTGTCCCCAGCACAGTGCCTGGCACATAACAGGAATTCCCTGCTAAAAATAAAAACAGTTGGGAGGATGGCTAGTGGTGATAAGCACCTTCTTAAAGAAATGATTTCTTATATACCTATCATGGGCTGTGGATACAGCAAAGGACAAGGTACAGGTTAAGCAGCAAGTCCTGCAGAGCTCTTGTAGAGGAGATCATTGGTGAAGCTTTTATGTTTAGGTCCTTTCATAATAACCAGGTGGAGGAGAAGTAGGGGAGGTCATGTTCATGAGGTTCACTGGTAATTTGTCTTATACATTTTTACCTCTCTTATGTGGGAATATCTTCTGAATCTTAGGATCCAGTAGCCCTTAGAATTTTTTTATTTTATTTTATATATTTTTTTGCTTTATTGATTTTGTTTTTCATTATAAAATATTTTAGAAATTAGAAGAACAAGCAATTGAATTTTCTAAAATTAAACTCAAGAGAGCTCACTTATCCACTGAAATTAGTTTGAATAGCTGGGTTACTGTAACAATTAATACAATTTAAAGTTGAGGGGGTACTGAATGAATATCGCCTCATTGTGAAATGAATTTAAGTGCTAAAAAAAACTACTCAGAGAACTAATTAATTCTGTGGGTAAAATGTATTTAAGTGCTAAAAAAGCTACTCAGAAAACTAATTGATTCTGTGTACGCATTGGTTGATATTATTACAAGGGATTTTAACTGGAGTGGATTTTTTTGTTATGAGAGGAAGACTTATCAAATGAAAACTAGCGAAAAGGCTAGGGAACTATAGTAACAATACAGAACCTTTCATTTTTGAGTAACTGATTTGTCTTATAGAGATTGGTAGTGAACCACCTAATTATTGTGCAGTTGCTTATGGGAAATAAAATTAATCAGTTGAATTAAAAAAAAAAAAAAACCTCACACTTCCTATGCTTCATAAATTACAAACATAATTAGTACCTTTATTAATACCATCAGTAAAGTGGATGCATCTGGCATTGGTGGAGGAGGGTGCTACCTTAGCACTAAAGTATTTAAAGTTGCTGTTGTTATTTTTACAGGGAGAAGGCAGAATTTCATCCCCATTAAAAATAAGTTTATATCAAGAATTTTGTTGGATAGATACTGTTCTTTATCCTGTGGTAGTACTACTGAGTGCCATTTAGTTTCTTTCTGAGAAAGAATTAAGTGTAATTTTATCTTACTAGGTTTCGTTAGGTATCCTATATAATAAAACAGGTGGCATCATGCCCTCATGCAATGTTGTCACAAGATGGCCAGCACAAGATGACCAGCAGGGGAGAGCAGTTTGGGGTGATCGGGCCTGCAGGGGAGGGCAGTTGGGGGTGATCAGGCCTGCAGGGGAGGACAGTTGGGGACAAAAAGGCTGGCAGTTGGGGCAACCGGGCTTGCAGGGGAGGGAAGTTGGGGGCAACTGGGTCTGCAGGGGAGGGCAGTTGGTCATCAGTCTGGCAGTAGAGGGCAATTGAGGGTCATCAGGCCGGCAGTGAAAGGCATCAAGTCTGCAGGGGATGGCAGTTGACCAACAGGCCAGCAGTGGAGAGCAGTTGAGGGTCATCAGGCCGGCAGTGGAAGGCAGTTTGGGGCCATCAGGCCAGCAGGGGAGGGCAGTTTGGATCCATCAGGCAGTTGGGAACAATCAGGCCAGCAGGGGAGAGCCATTGGGGGCGATCGGGCTGGCAGGGGAGAGCATTTGGGGGTGATTGAGCCACCAAGGGAGCAGTTAGACATCAGTCAGGCTGGCAGGGGAGCAGTTAGAAGCTAGCAGTTCCAACTGCTGGTTTAGACTCAAACCGTAAACTGGTGGCTGGACATCCCCCAAGGAGTCCCAGATTGGAGAGGGTGCAGGCCAGGCTGAGGAACTTCCACCCCTGTGCATGAATTTTGTGCACCAGCTGTCTAGTATTATGTAATCCTTATCTAGAAAATTAAAAAAATTATATAGATAATGGTATCTTATAAGTACATATAGATATCCTGTTTCCCTAACCAGTTTGACTCAGTGGATAGAGCATCGGCCTGAGGACTGGGGTCCCAGGTTTGATTCTGGTCAAGGACACATGCCCAGTTTGTGGACTCAGTCCCTGAGAGGGGGCTTGCAGGAGGCAGCCAATCAATGATTCTTTCTCATCATTGATGTTTCTGTCTCTCTCTCCCTCACCCTTTGTCTCTGAAATCAATAAAAATGTATTTTTTAAAAAGTAGATATCATGTTATCTAAAATTGAGAGGATAGATTGAGTGACCTTAAGTCTTTCAACAAAAAATTCCTGGCTTGCCAAAGCCAGTTTGGCTCAGTGATAGAGCATCGGTCTGCGGATTGAAAGGTCCCAGGTTCGATTCTGGTCAAGGGCATGTACATTGGTTGCAGGCACATCCCCGGTAGGGGGTGTGCAAGAGGCAGCTGGTCGATGTTTCTCTCTCATCGACGTTTCTAGATCTCTATCTCTCTCCCTTCCTCTCTGTAAAAAATCAATAAAATATATATTTTTAAAAAATTCCTGGCTTAATTACACCTAGGTACATTTGGTCCCCATCTGTCAGTGCAGATATAGAGGAAAAAGAAATATAAATAATGCATAGCTGAATGAATAAGTATTTCCAGTAATCATATTTATTCTTCTGTACTAAAGCGGGCAGGGTCTAGAGGTGCGCATGTGAGAGAGTGTGCACAGAGAGGTCTGACTGCGGGGGTTGCTGCGGTTTCTCCATAGCAGGAGTTGGAAGCTCCTGACTGCACTGAATCCTAGGTCCAACTGCACTGGGATTAAAAATATTATACAGAGACCCAACCCAGTTCCAGGCGAGCCCCGGGGGCACCCACGCTCTTACAAAGGGAATCTGGACTGTAGAGAAACGCATCCAGAAATAATCTTTAAGAGATAATTTGCCTTATAAATACCTGTTTTATATGTGGAGACTAACCAAAGGAATTAATTTATTGTTTCCAAATTATTTCGAGACATTAAATTTCAGCTTTGGATCAGTATTCTTGGGGGTTTTTTGAGGTACAAATGATCCAGAATTAATTGGAAGAAGTTATTTGTCAGAATATTTTGTTGTAAAGAAGAAACCAAGATGGCGGCCTACGTAAGCACCTAAGCTGCCACCTCACACAACAATCTTAAAACAACAACTAAAAGACAGAACGGACATCATCCAAAACCACAGGAAAGCTGGCTGAGTGGGAAATCTATAATTAGAAGTAGAGAGGCTCACAGATCAGATCGGGAGCTGCATAGTGCTGAGGTAGGGAGACATGCACGCAGAGAGAAAGGATGGCCGAGTGCCTGGCTGGCGGGAGGGGAAAGGAAGCACCAGATTTCACTGAACCCCAACCCCTGCCAAAACCCGATGGACCCAGGCTCATACGGGTGGAATCTGGACTGTAGAGAAACGCATCCAGAGACTCACAGACTGGGAGACTCGGGGGAGCCGGGAGCGGCAGCGGGCAGGGTCTATAGGTGTGCATGTGAGAGAGTGTGCACAGAGAGGTCTGACTGCGGGGGTTGCTGCGGTTTCTCCATAGCAGGAGTTGGAAGCTCCTGACTGCACTGAATCCCAAGTCCAACTGCACTGGGATTAAAAATATTATACAGAGACCCAACCCAGTTCCGGGCGAGCCCCGGGGGCACCCACGCTCTTACAAAGGGAATCTGGACTGTCAGGGGGAAATTCAGGGGATTCATGTAAGGCAGAGATCTGAGGTGCGTGCACAAGGGCAGGATTGACGGGAAGCCAAAACTGTCAGCTCAGCCCTGAGACTCTGCCCCATCCAAGCTGAGCACAGAGGTATTTGCAATTTTGCAAGTCTGATCCTATAAGACTGTCTCCAATACAAAAGGTACCCTGGCGTAGACACAGCTAATACTCACATCCAATTGGCCAGGAGGTCAATTCCTCCCAGTGATACCAACAACAATCAAGACTTAACTACAACAAGGCTGTACACACAGTTCACAAAGGGGAACACCAAGAGTGTCTACCTCAGGTAACTGGGGAGGCTGACCCACCGGCCAATATAGGAAACCAAGCACACAGAGCCACCCTACCAACTCAGGAAAGCAGCAAAAATGAAAAGACAAGGAAACAGATTTCAAACAAAAGAAATGGAGGAGAACAAACTACTAGATATAGAGTTCAAAATCACGGTTATAAGGTTTTTCAAGAATTTCCTGGAAAAGGCCGAAAAATTTAATGAGACCCTTGAAGATATGAAAAAAGACCAACTAGAAATGAAACATACACTGACTGAAATAAAAAAATATTATACAGAGACCCAACAGCAGACTAGAGGAACACAAGAATCAAGTCAAAGATTTGGAATACAAAGAGGCAAAGGACAGTCCTCTTGAGAAGCAAGAAGAGAATCCAGAAAGTTGAAGATAGTGTAAGGAGCCTCAGGGACAACTTCAAGTGTACTAACATCATAATTATTGGGGTGCCAGAAGAAGAGTACAAGATACTGAAAACCTATTTGAAGAAATAATGTGAGAAAACTTCCCCCACCTGGTGAAAGAAATAGACTTGCAAGTCCAGGAAGCACAAAGAACCCCAAACAAAAGGAATCCAAAGAGGACCACACCAAGACACATCATAATTAAAATGCCAAGGGCAAAAGACAAAGAATCTTACAAGCAGCAAGAGAAAAAGTTACCTATAAGGGAGCACCCATAAGATTATCAACTGATTTCTCAACAGAAACTATGCAGTCCAGATGGGAGTGGCAAGAAATATTCGAAGTGATAACCAGCAAGAACTACAACCAAGATTACCCAGCAAAGTTATCATTCAGAATTGAAGGTCGGATAAAGAGTTTCACAGATAAGAAAAAGCTAAAGGAGTTCACCACCACTAAACCAGTATTATATGAAATGCTGAAAGGTATTCTTTAAGAAGAGAAAGAAGAAAAAAGTAAAGATAAAAATTATGATCAACAAATATATACGTATATATCAACAAGTTAACCTAAAAAATCAAGTGAATTAAAAATCTTAGGAACAGAATAAACTGGTGAATATAATAGAATCAGGGGCAAAGAAAAGGAGTGGATTGATAATTATCAGAGGGAAAGTGGTGTGGAAGGTGCAGGAAGAGACTGGATTAAAACCGTACAATTATGGATGAGGACAATAGCGGGGGAGGTAAGGGCAGAGGGTGGAATGGGAACCGGGTGGAAGGGAGCTATGGGGGGGGAAAGGAGAAACAATTGTAACAATCTGAGCAATAAAGATTTATTAAATTTAAAAAATAATAATAAAAATAAAAATTTGGCTTATATATATAAAAAAAAAAGATTATTCTTTTGTGGTATTAATCCTGAAATCTTAGGTTTAGATTTGTCACTCACTTGGAAATCTCTTCAGTTTGGCTTCTGGTCCTTTTGACATTACTCCAGTAGTTTTAGATAACAATCTTGCTTTCTTGTATAATAAGATGTTTCAGGTTCATCTTATACAATTCCTATCCCAGACTTCAGTCGAATCAGCTATTCAAGGAGGTCCTGGTTTACTTAATGGAAAATCATCTGTAGAGAACACATTCTGATATTGAGTTAAATGCCATAATTTCCAAGTTGGTCATTGTTTCTAGTAGTTTTTTATCTTTTAATAATATACCACTAGTACTTTTATTTTTTTATTTTATTTTTTAAAAATATATTTTATTGATTTTTTTTTTTTTTTTTTTACAGAGAGGAAGAGAGAGGGGTAGAGAGTTAGAAACATCGATGAGAGAGTATCATTGATCAGCTGCCTCTTGCACACCCCCTACTGGGGATGTGCCCGCAACCAAAGTACATGCCCTTGACCGGAATCGAACCCGGGACCTTTCAGTCTGCAGTCCGACGCTCTATCCATTGAGCCAAACCGGTTTCGGCTAGTACTTTTATTTTTAATCCTCACCTGAGGATATGTTTTTATTGATTTTAGAGAGAGGAAGGGAGAAAGAGGGAAACATTGATGTAAGAGAGAGAAACATCGATTAGTTTGCCTCCCATACACACCCTGACCAGGATTGAATCCAAAACCTAGTTATGTGCCCTGATCAGAAATCAAACCCACAACCTTTTGATGTATGGGATAATGTGCTAACCTACCAAGCCACCTGACCAGGATAATAGTGCTTATTTTTTTAAACTTTGGAATAGATCATACAAACGAAAGATAATTGATACTCAGTTTTAAGAAGAAGAATAAAACAAGTTCCTACCCAATTGCCAAGCTAAAGAACTAGAACAGAACCAGTACTTTTGAATCTCCTTCCCATGGTCAGAACCTCCCAGCATCCTGGAGGCAATGACCATACTGAATTTTCTGTTAATTTTTGTTTATATTTTTTTACTCACTTGCAGTGGATGAGAGTTTCCATTCCCATCACCTGCAGCACTCCATATGGAAAGCTTTTTAATCATGCATGGTTCACTATGGTTTTATTGGCCATTTTCTTGATTCTAATAAAGTTGAGCATACTTTCCTGTTTATCTGTTTGTGTTATTCGTTTGTTAAGTGCTTATTTTCAGTCTTCTGTATATTCTTCTTTTGGTTTTATGTTTGTTCCTTATAAATCAGAGCAATTATTCATGCATTCTGGATACTAATATTTTTTTTTTGCTTGTATGTGTTACAAAATACACTGTTTGTGGCTTGTTTTTCCACCATCTTTATGTATCCTTTGAAGAAAATGTAATAATTTTAAAATAGTTAAATTTGTCACTTTTTTCTTTATGGTTTGTGCCTTTTATATCATGTTTAAGAAATTTTTCCAATGTAACGTTGCATGTATGTTCTGATTTCTTTTTTTTTTTCCCCCAAAAAAAGTTTTAAAGTTTACTTTTTATTTTGAGGTCTATGCTTTATCTGAAGTTTTATTTTTGTACGTGATATAAGTAATTATAAATGTAATGTATTCAGCTTGATTATTAAATAGATATTATGCTCTTATTCCATTTAAAATTAAGCTTGCAAGCAGAAGCCTCAGGCAACAGATAAAACCATTGGTGACTATAAAGCTACATCTTAATCAGAATGGAGATCGCAACACCAAAGTTCTGCAGACAGATCCAGCTACGCTGTTGCACTTGGTTCAGCAACTGGAACAAGCATTGGAGGAGATGAAAACGAATCATTGTAGGAGAGTTGTGCGCAGTATCAAGTAGTCCCGGTTTTAAGGTTTATTTCCTTTTTAATTGCTTGTGAATTAATGATATGCAGCAGTTACTTTTAAAAACTAACTTTTAGTTAATTGATAATCATTACTACATATAGATTCTATGAAAGTTTTTTTTTCCTATGACAAGATATGAAGTCATGTTCAAAAGTTAACATAAAGTTTCTTTCCTGGTGCTAAATGTGGTCAGCTTCTTGATAAATTAGGATGTGTTTTATATTTTAAATGTGTAAATAGGATTGAGTCTATACTGTTCATATTATCTGTATATATGAATGATTGTACTTTTCTTAGTACTTCTTTTGACTACTTAACTCTATTATTTTCCTCCTTATTGACCAAAATTTGAAAATAAAATTAGCAGTATTACTATTACTATTCATAATGTTTTTAGACAGTTCAGTGTTTTTGAACTTTAAAATCAACTCATGGCCGAAACCGGTTTGGCTCAATAGATAGAGCATCAGCCTGCAGACTGAAGGGTCCCAGGTTCGATTCCGGTCAAGGGCATGTACATTGGTTGTGGGCATATCCCCAGTAGGGGTTGTGCAGAGGCAGCTGCTCGATGTTTCTCTCATTATCAATGTTTCTAGCGCTCTATCCCTTTCCCTTCCTCTCTGTAAAAAATCAAGTATTTTTTAAAAAATTAAAAAAGAAATAAAAGCAACTCATGGATGTTAATAGCCACAGAATAATTGGAAATAAATTTTTAAAATACTCTATAGCTTAGGCAGTTCATGCTTTTTTTTTTTTTTTGCTTTTTTTTTTGCATATTGCTTAAGTTTGAGTTGTCATGGCTAATTAGTTTAAGTATTTAGTAATCAAATCTGTGCAATCATATATTACATTTTATCAAGGACTACTTTTTCCTGAGTACCCAAAGTATTAGAGACATGCTGTCATTTACATTTATAAACAATGTGTGCAGGAGTAATATAATTGATTCTTAATTATCTAGCTAAAATTTACAGTCACTTTTTATATTTTTGTTTAAATAAAGTATAAAAAAGGCAAAGGAAGACCATGTTTCCTACATTTCAGGCTTTCTTCCTTACAAACTTGATTTTTATTTTGTTTTGTGTTTTAGTAGGTACCATAAACTGTGTGGTCTGCAAAACTCAGATGCTGGTGTGTCAGGTCAACTTGATAGAGACTTAAGGAAAAAAGAAGACTTACAGAGAAAAATCACATGGAAGTGGGATTCAGTCTTAAGTATTCGTCCAGGGCTTTATTCTGTGAGTGTCATCCCCAAGGAACAACCCAGGAAGGCCTAAGAACCATGAGATTTAAGCTGCACTCTAGGTTCTGCCAACACTTTGCCTCCTGAGAATGAAAGATTTTTAGATCAGAGTGACATCATGTTTCTTTCTTTCATGAGAGAGCCTATAAGGAAACAGACCATTGAAAGAAAAGCACAGTAGAAATTGCCACCCATCAGCTCTTGCAGGCATGTGGGTTAGCCCTTTCCTAGAAGTATATTTCTGCAGTTAGGAAATAACTAGATCAGATACTAGCAAACCATAATCAAATAATTTTTCATTATAATGATAACATGAGTAATGAAGATTTCATATTTACCTCACAAACTAAAACTACATAAAATAGCATATATCATCAGGTTATAGAGCAATATGTCTGTCAAGTTTAGATGATATAAATAGCTCTGCGATTAAAAAGAAAAAGCTCTGTGAGGCGGCTTCTTTGTCCATATTTGGTGGAAGATAAGCAGGACTGACCACAGCCAAGACTGAAATAATAGCTCTGTGTCTCTTCAGGGCAGCCTTTCTTCCACTTCATATCCACTGTTCCTAACGCCAATCTAAACAAGAAAGCATGTGTTACTCTTCCATTTGTATCAAACTTTCCTGGCCTCCTCTCTATTTTCCACTATTCTTTCTGATGTTCTGTCTTCTTTACCTTGGGGGCCAGAGTGAGTTGGGAGCAATCTCCTAACATCTTTTTGAACCAGGGGCTCACTTTTTAGTATAGCCCATCTATAAGCCTCTTCCCTTTCTTAAACACTCCATACCCTATGGGCAACTCTGCCTTGTTGGTTTTATGCCATTTGATTTTGGGCTTTTTTTTTTTTTTTTTTTTTTGGTAGCTTATATATGAACATATTTTCTACAAATGCATTCACTGTTCTACTCTTTACTGTGATCAAACTTTTTCACTCTGAGTAATGTGTCTTTCCATCTATAACTCTAAATTCTTATTAAAACACTAGGGGCACGAATTCATGCATCTTGAAAGGAATTGTGGACCTCGAGGCTGTGGTAGGGAATGGGCGGGTTTCAGCCTATCCTCTGCTCTCCTGCCCGGCCCCTTCTGCCATGGTCTCCAGCCCCTCTGCTGGCAGCCCCACTCCCGCCGCTGCTGCTCCCATGCACTGATGGCGCCGGTCCTGCTTGTACCCACTGATCGTACAGAGTGATTGGGGCCGGTGCCAGCAGCAGGTGTGAGCAGAGGCTGCTGCTTCAATCTCCCCTCAGGAGCAGAGGAAGGTGTAGAAGCCCTCAGTGGCAGCCACCACTTGCACCTGCTGACAGCGCCAAGCGATTGGTAATGGCACTGGGCACTGGCAGAGGATGTGAGTGGTGACTCCAGTGCTGGCTGCAGGTGCGAGCGCAGGGCGAGTCCACAGAGACTAAAAATTTTCAGTAACCACTAGAGGCTCAACCCGATCACAGCAATGGGCACCCCGCCTTGGTCTGGCCTCTACTCACCTACTCCACGATCCCACTGCAGCTGACACCTGCCATGTTCCATATGTGCCCCCTGATGGTCAGCACACGTTATAGCAACAGGTTATTCAGTTGTTTTGCTGTTAGGTCTATTTACATATTAGGGTTTTATATAGAAATTTTGGATTATTGTGCTAATTTTTCAGGATTGACTGATGTTTGTTTAGACTTCAGTGTCATATCCTTCATTAAACCCAAGACAAAGCTGTGAGAAGGAAATAAATATGTGTCACATAGTCTGTATATACTTTACCCTCTGGAAGTCTCCTTTGTGTTTCACAAGATTTCAATTAGCTTGTTATTGATATGTCCACGTTTATACATATCTAAAGCAGCAGATTGGAAAGGTGATGGGGTAAGAAGAAAATATATCTTCTCTGAAATCTGAAAAATAACTTGACGGTAAGGAAAGTTTGAAAAATCATTAAGTGTGTGTGTGTGTGTGTGTGTGTGTGTGTGTGTGTGTGTCAAGGATGCATATATGGGGCCCTTAAAATTCATAGCAATATGTGACCTTTGAGGCTATAATGCAAAAAAAAAAAAAAAAAGTTAACAGCCTTTGGAGCTGGATAAAAGGATTTGAATTTATCCTTGATAAATTCCCTGAGTCATGTTTTCTTCATTTCTAAAATAGAATTAACAATACCTACTTTATTGGCTGAAGTGAGACCATATTTTAGAATGTTTATCATAATACCAGGCTTTAGAAAATACTTGTGTAGACTGAGATCTCATTTTTTCATGGCCTTGAATTATGTCTTATATTCACTGAGACATAATTCAAGAAATAGAAAATGTTACCTAATAATTTCTAGATAGTAGGATTATGGCCATTTGTTTTTCTCCTTCTAGAACGAGTTTGTAACTTATAATATTAAAAAAACTACTTTGAGCCCTAGCTAGTTTGGCTCAGTTGGCCTGCAGACTGAAGGTTCCTAGGTTCAATTTTGGTCAACAGCACATATCTCGATCCCTGGTGCCCATAGTGTGTAGGAGACAACCAACTGATGTGCCTCTCTCAAATCAATGTTTCTCTCTCTCTGTCTTTCCACCTCTCTCTTACTTTCTCTAAAAATCAATGGAAAAATATTCTTGGGTAAGGATTAACAAAAAACAACTTTGAAATTTGAAGTAAGGAGAGAAAAAAGATCAAGGAATTTAAGTACATTTAAAAATAATATTTCATCCAAATTCTAATTCTTGGAATGATATACACATAATTCTCCAGAAAATTCAATTATTCAAAAGTAGTCATTCCCAAAGAACTCAGGTGGACAGGCTGAGGGTTTTACACAGAAACTTGGTCAAGAGTCCTTTTTTTCTACCTTCTTCTCTCCCTACTAGTGAAAAAGGCAGGAGAAGCTCAAGATATTATCTAAGCCAACTCTTTTTTCAGATAATAATTACATCTAACTGAAGAATTATCTGTGCTGTTTTTAGTCTCAAAAGGCAACACATTTGTAGTTTTTATAGCCCTTATGGTTAGAAAGTTCTGCCAGCTGCTATATTAAAATATTCCTGTTATAGTTTATGTAACACATCTGTGCTTATTTTTAAATACGTATATATATTTAAGTCCCTCCTTAGTTTACCTTCCACAGTTTCCATAATCCTAGGTTATTCTCTCTTTTCCTTTATGTCACAAACAGTAGAAAATATTTTGATGAAAAGGGTATTATAAAACACTTAGCCCTAAATTAAATATATTCACTTTTAAACCATTGTGACTGTTCAAACTTGAAAACGTATTTTTAAAAACAAGCAAGCCTAACTCCATCATTAATGTGGTTAGTTCAGTGAGCTTTATGATGTTTTAATTATAAAAGCAGAATTATCCCTTTATTTCCCATATTTGCAAAACAGTATACTATGGAGTTGAAAAAACAATGTCATACTTTATTTCAATAAAGTACATATATGATCCCTGAATAGTAATGGCTCTTTGTTTTATGGTTATATAACTCCACTGCTCTGCCCAGGAACTCAAATGATTAATTATGCTTGATAGCCATGAGTCCATAGTAGGGAAGTATATTTTTCCTTAGTTGGGGAAATTCTATTTCCTTAATGGGCTTAATCTGAAAAAGAGCTTGAGGAATACAAAAATCTGCATTAATGTATTCTGAATGTGGCTTATGCTCACGTTGTTGCTATTTTAAACACAAGCAACTTTACAGGAGTTTTTTTTTTTTTTTTTTTTTTAAATCAATCTTTATTGTTCAAATTATTACAAAGGTTCCTCATT